GATGCGTAAAGGATTTTAGCTGTTTTGCATTTTTCACTCATAGCAGCAATTCCAAAATGAGTTTTCAGTTCATGCCACTGGTCTAAAATTCGTGTTACCGCCATCTCAATGGACAACCATCTTGTGTCACAAACCCTTGGAATTTTAAGGGGAGCCTTTAATTAAAAATATGCTAATTAATTATTTAACATTTACATATGTTTGGGACAATCACTTCTACGAGCATTTAACACTTACTATAGGTAAACAATGACGTGGAATTAGTAGAAACTAGATTTTTTAACGATTTAGAAATATTAATACATAAAAAGATTGACTATACACATATAAAACAGACGTATTCATTTGTACTAAATATACCTTTTGGTTGTTAATAGACTCGTATATTTTTTTATATAACGACTGTCGAATTGAGCTTTTTGAAAACCAATTGTGGGTTTCATATACTAAAAATTCCAAATCATCTGGAAAAAAGTGCTTACAAGCGTAATTAACTGCCAATTGTACGGAATGGCAAACACATTTGATTAAAATAAGAGATGGTGAATCCTTCTTTAATTCAGTGTAAACGCTGTTCTTCCCCCCAATCATCACACTTGCGTTGTCTGTTCCGATGCCGATTAAATTCTTTATGTCCAGTTTCAAACGCGTTAACTCCTGCCTAAGACCGTTTGCGATGGACAATGCGTCCCCAACTTCTAATTTTACTAAGCTTAAAAATGTTGACTCTACTGTTCCATTTTCTACAGAAAAGTACTTAATGACCACACCTAAACATTAAATTTTAATGATATTAACATGTATTGACATAATCCAATTAAAAACGATTGTAAATAATATACATATATCCACATAACTCTATATTTGAAAATTATTAACTCACCAAGTAATTTTGTGACACTAATGTCAGTGGATTCATCCAAAAGTAAACTGAACTTGGAACCGCCGATGTCCTTGCGAAGCTCTTCATTAAAGTGGGGAGCCAATGCATTTTTGATTATGTATGTGCATTTTGTGCGGTGGACTTTAATTTTTGTCGCGGTGTCGCTGTCATCAAACTTTTTTTGACAAAGGTCACATAAATGGTTTACAGGGGCTATTGCGCTATGCTGAGCAACAAATAAGCAAAGCGCTACCTCCTGCTCAACTGTTTTTTTTGGCGTTTTAGCAAAATTTATTTTATTTTTTTGCACAAAGCCCTCCATAGCACTGCTGTGTTTTTTTGTAGCAGCATGTGCACGTATGTCGCCCAATTTTGCAGTTATGTTGCACTTACAATAACTGCAAAACACCCGCGTGAGGTTTGTAGGATCCTTTCTCATCCACTCTTTAAATTCCGTGCTCTGTAGCCAGACATCTCTGACTTTTTGCTTGTAGGCTTCCTTTGGCATCGTCAATTTCTTTCAGCGCACGAGAAATTCACAATTTTAGTAGTCGAAGACTCTTCAACTTAGGTGCAATCTATTGATGGAACTTACTCGATACAAGTAAATATCGATTTTTTTGTCGATAGAAATGCACATTAAACATCTCTAAAATTTGAGTAAAAGTTAACTAAAAAAAAGCTGCTTAAATTTGCTTAAAAAGCCAGAATTCCCGCTGCCCGCTGTTTTCATATTTTTCCCGCAATCGCATTTCAAAAAAATCCAAATCTGACGGGAAAAAAGCGGAAATGACACCGCTAGCTATGATACAATTATACAAGGCATGGTACAATTATACTAGGTATCTCGTCGGCAAAAAGCACTCCCTTATTCATTACTCACCACAAGCGCGAGTGAGAGGAGTCTGCATAGTAAGTGCGAGTGAAACGACAAAAGAGCTTTTTGCTTAGCCCTTAGATGGTGCATGGGTCTAATTTTAAAATAAATGTCAATCTTAAAGTAAATTTTTGTAATATCTAAATTAATGTTTTTTAGCAGCTATTAATAGTTTCTCCTTTACATTTTTTGTTTTACTAAAATTATCTGAAACGACATGTTAAAAAACAAAAAAAACTTGCAGCCAACGGCAGAACGACATCTTTGCACAAGGGTTAATACTCTGAAAAAATTCGTCCGCACGCGGGCTCATCCTTCAACAAGCATGAACGCACTGACTTAAAAGCCGAACGATTAGGCAGCCGACGAGACTACCTTGTATAATTGTACCATGATTGTACCATGGTACGGTGCCATATTAGGTGAATACGGCTAGTGGTTAGCAGTGCTGCCAACTTTTGACCAGCAAAAAAAGCTGTTTTTGACGGGAAGAATGGAGAAAAAAGCTTTAAAAAAATTGTAAAATATACAATAAAAAGCTAAAAACAAATGTATCAAAAAAGCGAAAAAAAAAGGTCAAAAAATAACAATTTATTAAGTTATGATTTCCATCATTTTATCAATATCTTCTTCGTCTTCCTCATTTGCGTATGACATATTGGTTCCTATCATTGAACCGTTTTTTGCACTGGCTTCCCAAGTGGTCAATTTTAGCTGTAATAGTTAGAGCTCGGATAGTCATGCAAATGCATGTTGCATGCATATTGTGCATATTTCATTCCTTAGAGCATATTTCGATCGAAAGTGCATGTTCGAGCATATTTTAATATTCTCATTCGTCTCGTGGCATTCAAAGTAATCGGTTGATTTAAAATTGATCCCAATTAATAGAAAAGAAACGCTCGGTGAATTTATATTGCGTATGAAAGCCAATTTTCCCAAAGTATTTCGGTCTGATGGGTCAGTTTTGTTTTGTACGTATTGCGAATGTGCAGTTCCAGGAAAAAAAATATTCCAAGTAAAGCAGCATATTGCCTCTTTAAAACACAAAGCTGCCAAAGAGAGAAGGAAGAAAAATGACGATCAGTGAAGGCAACCATTAATATCGGATCTTAAACCAAAACCAGGACCAAATTTGTCGGAGTTCAATTTCGATCTGTGCAAAACTTTAGTTAAAGCAAACATACCGTTAAACAAAGTAAATCATTCGAGTCTGGTGACACTTATTGAAAAATACACTTCACATTCAGTTCCCGATGAAAGTACTCTGCGTCGAAAGTACATACATATGTGCCTCATTTGTACAATGAAACGGTTGAAAAATTGCGCTCTTAGGCTGACGGAAAATATATTTGGGTTACTCTGGATGAAAAAAGGTCTGCTGCCAATTTTCTTGAAATCGACTGATGGTGTTTGTGACTTTTTGGGTAACTATTTTTTTTTTAAGGAATTCAATACGACAAAGTGATGCTTGTTACTACCGATTCTGCTGCGTATATGATCTGTGCCATGAACGCTGATGTAAACAACTTGATTTGTGTATCCTTATAAAATAAATAAATAATATAAAACAAATCAAAATGGTGTTAAAACTTATCGCATCTTTGTTTTATTTTAATGAAGTTATAAGAAAATCTTCATGCAAAAACAATTTGTCACAGATTGTACGTACATGTATAATGAATATCCGTAAGCGCCTAGTGACCATTTAGGTAGCCGATTTTTGGAAATGGTTGATAATTTAATTATTCTGTTAAGAATTTTATCAGTCCAGCCAATAAATAACTATGTAATTACTTCACTTTTTATTCGAAATAGAAACGATCTGCACATGATGACTAGCAGAATATTCTGCAAGCCTTTGGAAGATAAATTTATCCCCAATCGCCTAGAAGACACTTCTTAGTCACTTCTGGAAGATAGAAAGACGATAGCACACATTTTATAAAAACAAAATACACATCTATCACCTAGAAGTCACTTCTTAGACACTTCTGGAAGATAGAAAGACGATAGAACACATTTTACAAAAACAAAATATACACCCATCCCGAAGAAGACACTTCTGAGACACTTCTGGAAGATAGAAAGACGATAGCACACATTTTACAACTACAAATATACAAGAGAAACTATCGCCCCTATCGCCTAGAAGACACTTCTTAGTCACTTCTGGGAGATAGAAAGACGATAGAAACTATCGCCTAGAAGACACTTCTTAGTCACTTCTGGAAGATAGAAAGACGATAGCACACATTTTATAAAAACAAAATACACGTCTATCACCTAAAAGTCACTTCTTAGACACTTCTGGAAGATAGAAAGACGATAGAACACATTTTACAAAAACAAAATATACACCCATCCCGAAGAAGACACTTCTGAGTCACTTCTGGAAGATAGAAAGACGATAGCACACATTTTACAACAGCAAATATACAAAAGAAACTATCGCCCAACTCACTTCTGGAAGTTGGTAAGAAGATAGTAAAGCAAAATGTGTATTTTGTTATTGTTCTTATTTTTTCAAATTCAAAATGTGTACACAAACAGGGGGCTCCGGTTTTCACTTTCACAAGATTCTCTCGTTTTCGTTTTTGAAAACGAGAATTGGTGCTCCCGTTTTTACTTTCACAAGACTTTTTCGTTTTCAAAAACGGGCAAGTTTTTTTCTACATCAAATCGGCTCTTAATTGCAAAAGGAAAAAAATAGTCGACTCCTTGGTCTATTGATGTTCATTTCACATCATCAGTAGGTCAATCTAATTCGTATTTATTTTATTATTTATTTTAAATAATTATTTTCTGACCCCATCTTGATTTCATACATGAAATATTTGCCATCGGCAACAACAACTTTCGTTTTGATAAGGGGTCGATAAATCTATTGCCAAAAGTTATCGTCAGTGCTGCCGTACTTGTAGTGGAACAAAACAACCACTTAAAAATACTTATAAAATGAAAACGAAGCTAAAATATTTGTAAAGAAAAGTTAAATAAGCTTTTTATAAATAAATATGATTAATTTCGTTTCATAAATGGTAAAAGTGCAGTAAAAAAGTTGTTGAGAATAGTGGAATAAAAGCTGCAAAAAAGGTGGCAGCCCGTTCTGGGAGCAACTTATTTGAAATTTTGGAAATGTAAGACAACTTAATTTGTGTATTTGAAACTAAATGCAAAGCTATTGTGTTTAGGGGGAAGCATAAGTCGTCGCTCCAGGACGAAATTATTTTGGATTTTATGAAAGGCAAGCCAGATCTGGCCCGAGGCTTTGTCAAAGGAGATCGAGTGGCTGCAGAGGCGAAGTGGGCAGATCTTGCTGGCGCGTTAAACGCAATTAAGCCTCCCATTAAAGATGTTGCAGGATGGAAGAAGGTATGACTATTAATTACTATATAAAAGAAAGCTAATATATCAAAGAAAAATATTCCAGGTTTGGTGCGACTGGAAGTCGAACACCCGGAAGAAGATAGCCAAAATCAAGGCTGAGGCCAGGGCCACTGGCGGTGGTCCTTACTCGCAGCAGGTTATAACGGACGTGGAGGAGGAGGTGGCCAAGATCTGCGGCCTTTACGAAATGGTGGAGGGAGTGGCTGGGCCAACAAATGGGGTTTCGCCCACCGTGAACCCTGATTTAGAAGGGGAGGAGGAAGAAACCCCAAATCAGGAAACGGTAGCCGAGGAGCCAAGTCGAAAGCGTCGGCGTTACTCAAGCGCCACTCAACGTGATCTCCCAAGCCTTTGCGCAGCACAGCTGGAAGTTATGTCGCAGATGAGCAACTCCATGGCTGAGCACTTCAAGAGGATGGAGGCTCTGCAACGGGAGGACATGGAGTTGAAGAGAGAGCTCCTCTCAAAATTCAATGAGATAATTAAAAAACTAGGAGAATAAATAGAATAAGTAAATGTAAAGATGTTTTATTTATATAAACTTGCAGGGTTTTTTTTAAATTTTATTCAGAAGTTTGCAGCAGAGGAACAATCAGTATTAAGTTTATACTAGAAGAGACAGAGCAATTTCGTCGCGTACTGATTTCCTCTGGTTAATTTTCGTCTGAAGTCTCTTCTGTATCGTCAAAATAAAAGTCCTCAGTAATTGACACATTTCGTCTTCTACAAATGTTGTGCAAGGCACAGCATACATTGACAATATGGCAACAAAAAACTGGCTCGTAATTTAAGAATCGTTGCAGGCAACGGAAACGGCTTTTGAGCACTCCAATTGTCCGTTCGATAATATTCCTGGCTCTTGTATGTCTTAAATTAAAAGTATGCTGATGCGTCCCAATCTCTGCGCTCCTGTAGGGAGTTAAAACGAAACTCTCTAGGAATCCGCCAAAACAAAAAACCCGTTTATAGTCCTGGAAAAATATTCCCTGATGTCGGAGTGGTTCCAAATAAAAGAATCACGGCAGGACCCAGGGTGTGTGGCATCAATGGCGATGATCTCCATATTATAGTTGCAAACCTCAGGAAATAAAAAGGTTTTTACATAACTTCAATTAACAGATTTGACCGATATACTTACCATCATGGCGTTCATGCTGTAATAACCCTTTCTATTAAAGAAAACAGAGGAATTGTTTACAGGCTTCTGAATTTTTATGTGAGTTCCATCCACACAGGCGACTATTTTTGGAAGTTGATACCTTTTGAAGAAGTATTCGGAATATTTCTGCATTTGTTGCCTGGACATCTGAAGGGAAATAGCATCCTTACATAGAAGCCTGTCCATCAACGGAATAAATATGTGCAGAATCTTTCCGAATGTGCTTCGCCCAATGTTTATATGATGGTCCTTGGCCACTGAAAGCTGGTAGCAGCCAGTAGCAAGGTATCGCAACACAGCAGCCAATTGCATTGAGTGTGACAGTGTGGTTACTTTTAAATGTGGCTTGACTGTCTCTAAAATGCTTTTGAAAGTATTTTTGTCAATCCTAAATGATTTAACAAACCTGTAAAATTTTAAGTTACTAGAGGTATTTTATATGTCTCGATTTTCTTAAATCAATTAATTTCTGTTTTCGTTTGGCTTCAAAACAGGCAATTGAAAATATGAAAGGCATTTTTTCGCGTTGTTTACTTTTGACCAAAAAAACAATTTAGCCGTTTGAACAGTGAGAAACGATGAAAAAATGAAACATTCCGATAACGAAACGATGACAAAAAGTTTGTGAAAACCGGAGCACCTAAAACGAAAACCTACGTTTTCGCCCAAAAACGAAAACGAGAAAAAAAGTGAAAACCGGAGCCTGCCTGAAAGTGATACAATTTGTATAATACAAATGTTATGTAGGGTTAATCCAACTTAACAATAATAGGGTAAGTATATATATTTTATATTACAAAAAATAAATCAATATATAAGCTTACATATGTGTATGTATATATTGAAAATTTTTGATTTTAATTATATTATATAAAATAAAATATTTATTGAAAATATTTCAATAACATTTTATATAATATATAAAAAAAAATAAATAATCATGTTTAAAATAATAAAAATATATTATAATAACACAACAATGGAAAGCTGATGTTTCGCTGTATCGATTGCGCACTGTGTGTCAAAGAACAGATTGAAAACATTAAAAGGAGGTCGCGAGAAAACCGCCGTTATTCCTCTTCTACTGAAAATTCCTTGGTTTTTCTTTTGGCCCCAGCGTTTTGTTTTCGTTAAAGGGTCATTTCGATTGGAGATTTTGTCTGGTGAGTTTTAGATATTTTTTTTTTTGTGTTTTTTGGTTTAATCAAAATGTCGACAAGTGAGAGGGCTTTAAAAATGCATGCAAAACGGGAAGCGGCCAGGTTAATTTCGGCAATATACATATGAGTCTCAAGACTCAACAATTGACGACAACCCGGCTAAGCGAGAATGCGTAGAAGTCTGTGGTGAAATAAATGAGCCTTCTGATTTTGTAAATATTCCGAATAATTTTGATGACCAAGTGCATAACGAATCTGACCAAGTGCATTACGAATCTGACCCGTTAAGTAGTAATTCCGACGACTTAGAATTTTTTGATGAGGAAACATTTTCCAATCAACTAAGGCAGTGGGCCATAAAGAATAGTATAGCGAATAACGTTTTAAATGAGCTTTTGCTGATATTAAGGCAAAACAATTTAAACGTTCCTAAAGACTGCAGAACCCTTAAAAAGACCCCGTTGGAAGTTGTGAGCCAAAAAATGGAGACGGCAATTATTCTCATTATGGATTGTCCGATGCTCTGACAGATTTTTTAACAGCTAATAATTATGAGTCCGATTGTATAAATCTTGATGTAAATGTTGATGGTCTGCCCCTGTGCAAAAGTTCAACCAAAAATGATAAGCCGATTTTGTGCAATGTTCCCAACTATCAAGACGTATTGTTAGTCGGCGTTTATGAGGGATATTCAAAGCCCAAAGATGCTCGAGAATACCTTGCCGATTTTTTTGGGGAAGTGAACGACCTCTTAGGATCCGGGTTTTTTTTTATAAAAATAAAACATACAATGTTAAAGTAGGCGTTTTATAATGGACGCTCCTGCCCGAGCTTTTGTTTTGAGTATTAAAGGACACTCAGGTTATTATTCGTACACAAAGTGTCTTCAAAAAGGAGAGATGCAAAAACACCGCGTTGTTTTTCCTCAAATCGAGTTTGGCTGCGATCTCAATGATTTTTATTTAGAAGCAGAGCCCAACTCGAACATTATAACAAGCAAGATAAAACCATTTTGGAAGAACTTCCTATAGATATGGTAAAGCAAGTCGGACTGGACTATATGCATGTGGTATGCCTAGGAGTTGTCAGGACACTTTTAAAGACTTGGGTAAAAAAAGGAGAACAATATTCTTTGACTTCCTGGAAAATTTCAGAATTGTTCACGGAGTTAAAAAATTTTAACAAATCCTGCCCATACGAGTTTAACAGGAAATCTAGGTAGTTAGATGAGTTAGACCGTTTTAAGGCTACCGAATTACGAAGTTTTTTGTTGTATTATGGCTTATTTATTTTAGAATCATTTTATCCAAAGTAAGATATAGCCATTTTTTCAAGTTGTCTCTTGCTATAAGAATTTTGCTAGATGACAAAATTGCTGTCGAAAAAAATAAAATTGCAAGAAATTTACTTGTAAGTTTATGTTTATAAGTTCATAAGTTTTATGACGTGTAACTTCCATTATTTACTTCATATTCATGAAGACGCATTGTCGTTCGGATCGGTAGAATCCATTAACGCTTTTCGTTTTAAAAATTATTTGCAGATAATTAAAAAACAAGTAAAAAAGGCAAATAACGCAGGACTCTTTTCCAAAAATTTTAAAGGAGTTGGAAATAGGCCGGAAAAGGGAGGAGGCGATTTTAAGGGAGTTGGACGACAGCAGGCGACGGGATGCAGGCAACCAAACCCTGATCAAAACGTTGACGGAAGATCTTATAATGCTTCGCGACGAAGTTCGCCAATTAAAAGCTTTCCCCGTCGTCGAGCCGCAAAGCAAATTATTAGCTCCTTTGCCGTTCAACTCTCTTTGCGAATTTCAAGAATTCGAAAGGAACTTATTTATTGATGACCAATTGCGAGCAGAACTGGTAAATTTTTTTTAGTTAAATATGCCGTGACAATTAAAAACAGCTTTAACCTTCTTTCAGAAATCAAAGCTTAAAGGGATCGGTGGCTTTGATTTCCCATCGTATACTAGACTGGCCATTAAGTCAGTTATAGGCGATACTTTGACCATAAACATAGCTTGGCGAGGGACGCCTGAAAAAACCCAGCATTCAGTCTTTCTGCACATATAGCATTATAAAAGGTAAACCATAGAAGATTTTTTTATGTACAAATGTAATATGTTAATAATTTGATTTCTTTATACTCTTTTAGAGTTGGCTCTGAACAAGATTCCTAATGGCACAGAAGTGGAAATCAACAAAATAAACAGGAAAGCCCAAGAAAGTGTTCTTCACGCCAAAGACCTGGTATACAAACGGCAAAAAACAACTTGAAAATTGATTCCTTAAAAATAAAAATTAATGAATGTCAAATCATTAAACAAAAAAGTATATATCGAACAAATTCTTCTTTTAATTATTTCCGATTGGAAACGTCTTGTGGGTAACTTCTAGAAGTATCGCCGAAGTCACTTCTGGAAGACACTTTTTGGTCACTTTTGGGGGGTGACGCGGAAGTCACTTCTGGAATACACTTTTTGGTCACTTTTGGAAGTATCGTGGAAGTCTCTTCTGGGGGGTGATGCCCAAGTCACTCCTGGAAGACACTTCTTCGTAACTCCTGGAAGTGTCGCAGAAGTCTCTGGGGGGTAACGCGGAAGTGTCACAGTTCTTCCCGACGGACCTCACATCTGCGATCCGAAAGCGATATCGCGGACGATCGTTTTCAACTTCTAGAAGTCACTCAGAAGTGTCTTACGCGATAGAAAATACTTGCAGGATATATACACAGTAAAATGGATAGGGCAAAACGTAATATAAAGCCATTCAATGGCGAGATGTACGCAATTTGGAAATTTAGAATTAGGGCTCTACTGGCTGAACTAAATGTACTTAGGGTCATTGATGAGGACATAACTGCCCAAGTGGATGAACAGTGGAAGGAAGCAGAGCGTCGTGCAAAAAGCACGTTAATAGAGTACCTTAGCGATTCTTTTTTTTTAACTTTGCTACAAGCGTTATATCTGCGCGCAAAATTCTTGGGAATTTGGACGCTGTATATGAACGAAAAAGCCTGGCGTCGCAGTTGGCAGTTCGAAAACGTTTGCTTTCTCTTAAGCTGTCAAGTGAAATGTCCCTATTGTCCCACTTTACTATTTTTGATGAATTAATAAGTGAGTTTTTGGCCGCAGGTGCAAAAATAGAAGAGATGGATAAAGTGTCTCTTTCGTTGATT